AAAAAAGCCTAAATGCATGAAGGAGTTTGGTAAGCTTGCTAGTGTCAGACCTCAGTAAGGGGAAAGAGGGAAGAGTGCTAGATCAGGTTGGTCAAATCTTCATAGATCTGGTTAAAGGACCTATTTCTATCTAAATGCAAAGGAAAGGATTGTAAGGAGGGTGGTGGCTGGATCAGATTTATTATTTAAAGGCAAGAGGGGAAAATAGAAAGACTAGTTGAATGACATGATGGTTACTTTAATGTGTCAACTTGACTAGGTTGTGTTGAGCAGTTGTTTGGTCAAACACTAGTCGGTTATGAAATAGTTGCATGTGATTAAGTCAGTTGGAAAGTAAAGCAGATGATGCTCCATAATGTAGGTGTGTCTCATTCAATCAGCTGAAGGTCTTAAGAGCATAGAGGAATTTTCCCTAGGGAGTATTCTGCCTCCAAACTATCAACAAGTATCTTGCCAGAACTCTTCCACTCTTTTCTTCCTGTTATCTGACCTATGGATTTTGGGACACAAATTACAGGAATCTCAAGGTTGTCACCTGAGCTACAAATTTAGAACTTGCCAGTTTCTTTCTAGATAGATATGCATATCAACAGGTATATATCTATACATATATATCTTACACATCTATCTACCTACCTATTTTACTGGTTCTATTTCTCTAAAGAACCCTAAGACAAGTGGCTATGACAATAGAAATGCTGGTGTTTGACTATGAATGCAGACGAATAGAAGTGAACATGTGAGATATATTTAGAAGGTTAGATGGAAATTTTGAAGGAGGCTATCCTAAACTAGGTTCTCTAGAAAAATAAAATCAGTAGAACTTATGGATGTATATATGTTGGTAGTGGTGTGCCACTGAGACAATTCTGAGGCTGTTAATCTTTATGGGACCAGAAAGCTTATCTTTCATTCTTCTTCAGTGACTGGTAGATTCAAACTGCTGACCTTGCTATTAACAGTCAAGTTCATATATAATATATATACACACTTTAAATATATATA